CCTTACACCAGCTCATCCTCGAAGTTGTTGTTATCTCGCATGACACGGCCGCACCAGGGCGGCATTAATCCAGCGTTGGGGCACCCCGTTGTCAATTTTGAAGTCCCCTCCTTTTCGATTGAGTACAGCGTAGGGGCCTTTCCAGCGTTTCCTGAACTTCGGTGCTCCTGGCCGTCCAACTTTCGGGCGGTCGTGATTTCGTACCTTTACTTCTTCTCCTACGCTGTATGGCTCCCACTTGTGGGTCGCGTACCTGGAATCGAAGTTGCGTTTATTCCTTGCTTGCCAAGACTTGGTTTCTCTTCTGGCGGTTACTTCCAAACCTTCGTGATGTGTTGCTGGGATATCCCATTTTTGTGTAAAAGTTATGAGTGTACCATGCGGAATTCCTAGTTGTCTGCCAAACTGTAATTCAAATGGCGCAACTTTCCTGGTTGACTGCTTGCTGGATTTATACGCGAGAAATACCACAGGCAATGCTTCCTCCTACGGCAACTTTGTACAGTTTATCCACGTCTTCATTGTTCGATTAAACTGTCCAGTCAGCCCGTTGGTCTGCGGATGGTACAGTGACGCGCGGCGTCTCTGGATTTTCCACTTTTCTAATACTCTCTTAAACACCATCGACTCAAAACGGGGGCTCTGGTCGGCAAAAACACACTGTGTTTGCGAGTACATTGAATTCGAATGCCTGTGCCACTGTTACACTTGTTTGGTCCTTGACCAGCATGGCTTCAACCCACCGGGTAAAATGGTCAATCATCACTAGGATGTACCTGTTTCCCGACCGACAGATCGGCAAGGGCCCAAAAACGTCCAATCCCCAAAACTGGAATGGTTGGTTGACTTCGATAGATCGCACTGGAGTCCTTGGTGCATCCATATCGCGGTTCGTTTGACAAGCTGGGCATCCGCGAATGTATGCCGCGACGTCCTTTCTCATGGTTTGCCAAAAATCCCTCTTCTGCAGCAGGTCGAAGACTCTATGGAATCCCATATAGGTGCCATCATGGGTCACTCGCTCCCGTAAATTCCGGGGGGATAAAAGGCACTGTCATTCCGTTTGTTATCCCCAACAGGGTGCCAATTGTGACATCAAGCTTGTCCCAGATACTCAGGAATTCCTCAATTTCTCCTGATGTTTCCTCTGGCTTGGTCTCGGCTTGTAAATGAGCGCACAGTAACCTCAGCAATTCATTTGTACTTTGGCTTTCCAGCAGGTCTCGATCCTCAGCGGTGACGCCATACACCGGTATGGCAGTATCTGGCAGGAGCTCGTCCAGAGAGGGGCGCGATAACATGTCGGGTATTAAGTTCTTCGTTCCCTCCACGTGCTCGATTGTAAGGGCGAATTCTTGGAGACGGAACGCCCACTTTGCAAGTCGTCACCGCGGATCTCTCGTCGTCATCAACCATGATAGGGGCTTGTGGTCGGTAAGGACATGAAATTCAGTCGCTAGAAGGTATGTTCTCCATTGATCCAAGGCCCACACAATGGCAAGGCATTTTTTCTCCGTCGTGGAGTACTTTTGCTCTGCGCTGGTCAGCACTCGGCTGGCATATTCGATCACACCGGCTGGTTGGGATAACACAGCTCCCATTGCGATGTTGCTTGCATCAACCGCCACCGTGAATTTTTCCCGAGGCTTGGGTAACCGTAAACATGCTGGCGCCTCTGCAAGGCATTCCTTTGGGGCATTAAACACTCGATCTGCTTCATGTGTACAAGCGAACGATTCGTTTTTATTTACCAACCTTAATAATGAACTGATTTTCTCCACAAAATGAGGCACGAATTTCGAATCATAGGCTACCATTCCGAGGAAAGACCGGAGCTGAGGTTTAGGTTTCGGGGTTGCGAAATTCTTGATTGCTTCGCGTTTCTCCGGAAGTTTCTGAACTTGACCATTCGCCACAATGTGGCCCAAACACACAATAGAATTTTGAGCAATCTGTGACTTTTTGCGACTAAGCTTCAGACCGGCTTTCTTCAGTCGTTGTAGTACGGCTGCGAGTCGGGTACCATGTTCATGTCCCGTCTCCGAGAAAATAATGATGTCACCTCCACAGACAACCACACTTGGAGGTTCTCCAGGACCATTAGCAGTAAGCGTGTGAATGTCGCAGAGGCATTGCACAATCCAAACGGCGTTCTCAAGAATTCGTACTGTTGGCCATTCACACTGAAAGCTGTTTTATGTCGGTCTTCTTCTGCGATGGGACTTCCCAGTAACCCGAACGGAGATATGTCAATGAAATCAGCCTGGCATTGTGAATATTGGAAAAAACTTCTTCCATTTGGGGTATCGGAAATGCGTCTTTCACCGCCATTCTGTTTAGCCCCCTGAAATCGATGTAGAATCTGTAGGTTCCGTCCAGCTTTCTCGTCAGCAATACGGGCGATGAATACGGACTGTTTGTTCGTCTGATGATCTCTTTGGCCTCCATCACAGCCACCTGCTTCTGTATCTCCACCAGAGTGTTCTGTGATATCCGCCTGAAAATCGGCTTGCACTCCCACCTTGAATTAGGGGTATCCGATATTCTATCTAGATGCGAAATCCGTAATAGCCATTCACATCCGTGAAAAATGCGCATACTTCTGAAGCACGTCCCGTATTGTACGGTTCAGGCACTCTGGAAGAACCGTCACGGCACCTATCTGGTCGCATTTCCCTGTGCTCATCTCAATCGTTTCGTTGCCCACTATCGCAACATTCTTTCGCAACTCAATCGTCGCAGCCAGCCGCTTGAGGATGTCATTACCGATGAGCGTTTCCGTTGCCCACCAGATAACAAACATGGAATGGCTAATAACCGTTTACCAATTCTCACTCGTAATCTCTGAACGCCTGTCACCTTCAAATGGTGTCCTCCGACCATTTGCATCGCGGTTAATGACTAAACTAACAGGACACCATCGAACTTCTTTGTAATGGAAACACCGGCGCCCGTGTCTACTATCACACTGACCACGACATCCTCAATTGTTATCGCAAAGAAGGGTACACGCCACCGACCCGACATAGATAAGGAGAAACAATGCTAAAATTTTCTGTTTGTATAATATGCAGCATAATGACCAACGCGATTGCATCCGAAACAACGGCGCTCATCTCGTCTTCCGGACGTATTGCCTTGTGTCTCTATTCTCGGCGTTTCTCTCAACAGCCGTTCCACCATCCACGATAGCTGGTCCACTTTATGATCCAAGTCTGACGACTCGCTTGTTCTCATCATCACAGGCTCCGAAAAGCTCTGGGTCACAGCCACAAGTTCTTCTGCCTTACTGAATTCAACCATGGATACCAATTTCACTTTGTATTCTGTGGGTTTGGACAAACTTCGGAGGAGTTTTCCTCTCAGCAACCGTTCTCTCGCGTCGCCAACTCCGGAAGTGCAACCTCCAAGTGTCTGTTCAGTCCCTGAAAGAACACCATCAGATCTTCTTGCTCTTCCCATTTGGCTGAGTGAAACTGTACCAGCACTTGTTGCCGGTCAATTTCCTTCTCGAACTCCGCATACAGACCCGCCTTCATCTCAGCAAATAAGCAGCTAGCCTTGATCTTCCGCGTTAGTAGGTAGGTCGCCTTCGCTCATCCCGTCAGCACCGTGCGTAAGGCGGTCAGCAAGTTGGCACCTCCTCTGACTCCGTTACATGCCGCAATCGCCTCACACTACTCCAGCCAACTTCACACGTCTCCCTCTGCAAACGGCGCTGGCCAGGTCAACTTCATTCTGATTGGCCACGGCACCAGTGTAGCGACAACGACGCGGCAATGAAGCACAATCTTTATTGGCGCGATCACAAGCTATAGCACCACTCACACAGAGGCGTAGATTAATGAGTCCCTTTTCCTTCTCCCGTTGCACCATCTCTCCTGGCTTCCGCTCGCGACACGTCCAAGCACTTTCGAACCCGTAGCCCCGCTTCCACGCGTCCCATTCTGACCGAACCGGAGTCGTTCAATAGCCCTTGCTTTGCTTGCACGTGGATGTATTGCTCTGATTGTGATTGTTCCGGGAGGATGCAATAACAGCAGTTTTGTCCGATTTATTACGTTCTCGACAAATATTCTCCCTGTTTTGCCTGGCTCAGTCTCACTACCGGGCGCTGCTCGTGCTCCGTTTTCGTCTTGTTCCGTCAGGCTAGTGTTGCTCAGTCTGCTCCCCCTCATTGCGCCCGTTTCCCTTTCGGTCCGCTCCGGTTTTACTGGTCTTTCTATCTTTCGGGCACCAACTGTCTTCCGCCTCCCTACAATTGTACTACAGCCATATGCTTATCGCTAGGTACGAAGCTTCTTGCACGAACTATCACACGACCTCATCAAATGGACAACCTGAGTTCACAAGACTCCTTGTGGTGCGAGCGTGTGCTTTTGCTACTATAAGCTGAGACTTGTCATGGGGCCTCATAAGTGTTGCTGATCGCGGTCACGAACGTCGCATGCCGTCGGTATTTCCTCATCACTCTAACCTCGATTTTGCTTATGTGAACTCCTAGTGGCTGGCATTAAAGGTTTCCACGAGAGTTGAGTAATCAATGCAGTGCGAAAAAAGTAGTGAACGTCTAAATCTGCATTTTGACAACATGTGCTCACTGCTAATGAGGACAACAATGTGTAAGGAAGTGGCTAATGCATCACGACGCACCTCCGTCGAACAATTAAATGGTTGGTTCCTCGATTAACGACAAGTTAGTACAAAGATTAGTCATTGAAGCTTCTTTCAAATTAAACGTTCGTTAATTTTTACTTTAATAATAAAGCCAAATATAAGTACATAAGGACATAAAGCACAAAGCGTCCAGCATGGGAATGCGGTGTGTTGCGTACGCGCGAAAAAGAGCGACGCTTTCCTTTTCTTTAGATGTGCTATCAAAGCCTATCCCTACCCATTTCAATTGAGGTTAACCTGGTGGTGCAAGTTACTTAAAACGGAAGGCTTTACTGATCGTTGATGTGGCAACTGAGATTCAGTCCGATAACCAAAGGACTCACGTTAACTGCTGACAGTGACCGATACTGTTGCTGATGCCTGTGCAAGTGTTGCTCATTCAAACCGGTGGTGGATGCAGCCAGTTGGCGTTGGCGATGCTGACGCATAAGTAACTCCTGTTCACGTTCTTGCCTTAAACGCTCACGATGTGCCGAGTACCCCGAACGTCCAGGAGGTTGTGACACAGAGGTGACTCGCTTGAAAGCCAAGTCCGTTTCTATGGGTAGTGGGAAGAGGGCATGCAAGCGTTACAAGTAGATCAGGCTTAAAGGTTAGATTTAGCTTGCAAGTGGGTTAGCGGAGAGTAACAGAAACTGAACCAAAGGCTAATAGGCGCATACAGAAACGCAAAGTGAAAGGTCTCCGTGAATGATGCGGATTTGAAATCACTCAGTGGATCATAGAGTGGGGTGGAGATTAAGTAAAAATCCGCCTGTTGATTGCGGGTCTCAGCTCCGTTGCATCAGTGCCAAGGACCGCATACCAAGGTAACTGCAGAATGATTAATTCAACGCACCTTGATAAAGTCATAGTTAGTCATCAAGCATTGATCTGCTAAGCATGAGGAAAGCAGAAAAACATACCAGTCTCAAGGGAGCTTCAAAGGGAAAAGCTCATCAACTGGAAACTTGAGGCAGTAAATAGAGGAAAGCATACATAAACACGTAGGTGAGTAACGACACATTTACTTCGCATACATAGTGGTCAGGGTACTCAAACTGATGTGCGATCAGTTCGCGAACGGTACCAGGTGTGTACTCTAGTACGGAGGCAAGGAAGGTATTTTCCAACACCTGATCTCATGCCATGCTCGCGCTAGCACCGCTCATTGTATGTCACCATGAGTTCAAGTGGCCTGCTGGACTGTTGGTAACGACGTCCGGTTTATGTCCTTGATTGGTAATTATTTACTCTAACTCCAGCTGCTCTTAACCTTTGCCATTCAGTTCGAAAAAAATGTTGCATCTTGATTGATACTAAGATAGGAAGAGGCCACAAGCACTACGATAACATGTGTAAAGGCAAATGGTTTCTGTGTTGAATGTTCCACTGAAGTTGCTAGCGGAGTTCAATGACTTAATAATAAAAACGTATGCTGTCAGCTACTATGTGCAGGGTCCCACTCACAGCACATGCTATAGCTATCTGAAGAGTCACAATCAGCATATAGTCAGTCGTGGAATGCAGTGCTGGCGAGAGCACCTACCTAAACTACGATATACGAGTTAGGCATAACTAACCGTTTCTTTTGCCCCTGACAATAATGAGTTACACGTGACACATGTTGCTTTGTCTCTCTATACCTTTTCTCAGCCAGGTACATCCTTAACGCCTACAAATTCCTCCTTAAGAAAAACGTGTTTCTCCACAGATCGCTCAAGATGGTCCTTGACGCTATCAAGTTACATCCAACAAGCGCAAACGACCCTACTGTATATTGTGTGATCAACCGCAATTCAGCGAATAGCATCTCGCTCTGTGCACTCAGCTGTTATCGACTGACTTGAAATTGGTTACTTAATGAACAGTGAGCATTTTTAGGACTGTTGGCGTCAGTTGGACGCAACTTAATAGCGTTAAGGACCATCTTAAGTGATCTATGAAGAAACATGATTTCTTTAAGGACGAATTTGAAAGCGTTATGGATGCAATTGGCGGAGAAAAGGTATAGTCTGGCTGAGCTGAAATAAGCCAAGCTGTGTTGCCCCATTTGTGCTCGTTGCTAAAGTGAGAATTTGGATCTGGCTGTATTCGATGCGAATGTTAATCAGGTGTTACTGTACCTGCCTCAGCCACGTTGAGTGCTAGCGACAGATGACGACTAATCACAGTCTACATCAGTGGTGCGTTTACTGTCGTCCCTTAGTCAAATTACCGGTCTGAAATTTCTTATGTTGGGACGTTTGTGCGGTGAGACTGAGTATGACTCACGCGGTAGCGAAAGCCGCAAATAACCCTTCTCACCAATGCTGTTCTATCTTCGCACAACAACCAGCTGAATGTGACCGCATATAATTGACGACGCAAACAAGACCTTCTTAAGATGAATAAAAAGTATTTTACTTTATTTAATTTACTCAGTTCGGCTATTCTGCTGCATATTCCGTGTCAACATTTGCGTGTTTATCTTCCTTCAAGTTCTGTGTTTGTTGTTTGATTTCTGCTGTATGACTGTGCTTAAAGTGAATGTTGATAAGGTGCCTAACTGTATACCACCCTCCACCTCGATTACTGGCTCCATGAGCCTGAATCGTTGCTGGGGGGACGGGGTGCATAGTTTTCGTGACCTTGCTAAGCTCAAAGAGTGGCTACACCCAGTGTGGAGATGACCACTGCCCAGCCACTGCCTTGTGTATACATGATTCCCCACATGGATATACAGGAATGTTGCTATTGTGCAGGTTGAAGGAGTGTCGGCCACCTCCGTTAATGAAACCTTGCCCCCATCCACATGCCTCCCGGTTTCATTCCTACGGGTTTACCTTGGATATGTGTTGTGTGGATGGAGCTGTGAGTGGTGCAGCGTAAGTCACCCATGGTCTCTCTGTAGGCGCAGACGTCCTCTGGCTCTCGCATGGAGGCCACCTTGACAGGCAAATCCGGAACCAAATGCCGCCAATCACAATTGACAAGTTACAAAGCAAGTATTCAGAATACTTGTTGATCCAGATGCTTATGAGAGTGTTTGTGTGGTCAGCACACACAGAATAAACGAAAAACACCAGAGTATTGGGCATTTCGGCACCACATTAGGTCCCCAACTCCGCCTCTCACTGGTTCTCATTACTAAGTTTTAATGATTGTGTGACAATGAGGCATCAGCTCAAATTGATGACATTCTGCTGTGAATGGTGGTTGTGTCTATGAAGGAGCGGGCAACTGAAATCTGGCTTAGGGTTTTCCACATTTGACGACACTATGTAGCAAAGCGGGACTGGTCCTACAGCACCGAGGCCGCGTTCCTGTCCCTTCTCCACTGTATACCTTATTTAATATAGTCATCATGGTTGTGGGGCAGTAAAATATGAGAACAGCGTGCTTATGTGCGGGTGATGATGAGGCATTGTGTGATGTTTAATAGAGTAGATGTATTTGTTAGACTTAGCGCCATTGCTAAGTCCAAGGCGCAGTTCTTTCAAGGCCAATCTGCCTAGGTCTGTTACCTAAACCTGCCATACTTCCCACCAGGAAATGATTAACAGGAAACGATTTCGCAGGAGTCAGATGCACATGAAACCGTGTACCACCTAGTGATGTACGCCACATCCACTTTTTCTAGGTACTGCTATGATTCCGGATGAGTTCCGTGTGGCTTCACCTGTTTACAATGGTGCTATACACCTGATGATTCGTCCCCATCTTGTTAAGTAGCAGTCGCGGCTCCCACCCGCATGTCTCCAACGAATACTCTTCCTGTATGGGTGGTAAAGTGCACACCTCTCACGGTCCCTGTATGCGTGTGGATCTCATTTAGTTCTCCAAAATCATATTGGTGGGCAGCTCTTGAAATGGATACCGCCAACAAGGGTATCCGAAACTAAGATCAACTCACATTAAGCACCAAAAGTGTTAAGCACTATACGTTGGTTTCATTTAGTCGTTGAATGTGACGCGTGACCTTCCATCCAACCTTTATCTTCGGAAACGCATATACATAGCTGTGTACTTGTTGATGACCTAGACGAGATGCGTTCAGTGATATAGGACTAATGATGGTAGTCTGTCATTCAAAAGTTCAGTAGGCGAAGGCACCATGTAACGTGCAAATTACACCAGTTAATTGTAGGTACTAATTATCGAGACAAGCCACCGTCAGCATTAGTGCCCTTAATTGGTGTAGGTTAAGGGATCATTTTATGGAGCTCTGCTATTAATTGACAAACAGTTCTAATGAGCAAGCAGTTTAGTGCGGAATATGTTTTAGGTCCTTTCGAAACAATCGCAATTAGCCAAGCAACTAATAAGTCAACTGATTCACGAAGCGTCTTTATTATCCAACAAGCTGCAACACGAGTCCCACTGTGCATCTACTATCATGCTAAATGAAAATATATTAACGGTGTTGTTTAAGTCGACACAAAACCGCCAAATACAAAGTGACAAACAGGAACTAACCGGACCCCTGGTGTTGCGAGCGCAAATTCCACGAACGAGTCGTTTGCATGTTTGTTTGGCTCATGGCTCTTTTTGGGACCCCGTACGTCCCAACGCTGGTGCCGACACCATCTAATCATATACACAAGCAGAAAAAAGAATGAAGAATGTGCCAAAGTCGGGTTAAGCACAAACGAAAGCGGACGCTATGTATACGTAGCTGAACGTCTAAGTGTGTTAAAAACAACATAAAAGAAAGTTGAAAATCAAAGCCTTGGTTACCAAATGCTACTTCAAATGAAAGTGGGGCAGGGTGAGAACAGCGCAAGCACTTGAGTTGCTTAGCATGTGTGAGTGACGCTTAACAGGTCGATAATGCCCCCTCCCCTACCCGAGACGTCGAGTTCAGCCGTTAGTGGTGAAGAGTGAGTGATATCAAGCTGTTGATTCGACGATAAGGCTCTGGTGCATTTGGTCTCATCAACGGACTGCAACACATAAGTGGCCGCGGCGGCTGGATGACTGTTGGTGTGCAGTGACTTGGAATGTTCAACCCCAAATTTGCTTACTAATGCAGGGTAGTTTGGTGATGCAATCTCGTTCTGGCTGAGATTTGGGTTAGTATTTATTGTACACGTGCTGACGATTGACACCGGCTTGATGTAGGTAAGCTCAAATGCTGGTGCGACCGGTTCCCTATGGGCTGTACATGACAACGTGGCTTCTTGATCTGCAAGTACGCTGACTGTGGCAGTAGTACCGTGCTGTTCGTATGCCTCGCCTGCCTTCAAGCGTGATCGAGATTCAATGCAGCTCAAACTGGACACAAACACATTGGATTTCGTCGAGTTTGTGCTCGTACTCCCTGGTGTGTTAGTATCGTCAAAATCCCCATTTTTGAGTGTAAATAGTGGTTCCATTTGAGTGATCAGTCCATTCTGGTGTGAATGTTTCTTGAATAATTGAACTCCGTTTCTGGAAAGTTTCATTGAAGTAGTGTGCGTATCACCCATGTTGACTTGTATAGTATTCTTTTCACGAGATTCTACATGAAGAGCGTTAGTGAGATTTAAAGAGACAAGTGTAGCTTGGCGAAGAGCATTATTGAACCAAATACACAAGTAACAAGACAGGGCACATGAATTTTATGGTTTACACAACCCTTCCCCAAATCCGACAATTTCAGTTTCATTAATCCCAAAGAAGCTTTAGGGCTACTGTGTCCTCGAAAATTTGTCCGTTTTTCATGGACACCCGCTGTGCGATTGGTCTGCTGCACACAACATTTGGGGCCGCGATATTTCTTAAAGTAGACCTAACTATCTGGTTCATTAGGACCATATGCGAAACCTATTCGCAGTGTTTACCTTCTAGACATAGTGTTTTCGGTTGGCTCGCGCCGGAGTGTTATGTCGCAATTCATACAGACACCGACCACCCCAGAGCTCACAGATTGTGACAGAGCTCGTCCAAGGAAGCTCAATTTATTTGTTGTAGTGGTAGCAACTAGCAAACACCGCATCCCGGATTCGAGTCCCAAATTGTGTCTACTTAAACAGTTTGAAGCAAGACAAAACCGGCCGTAGGTTGAAGTGTCAAGAGCGAGCAGCGCCTGACATTTACTTGCTATTAAAACACCCTGCACTTATTTCTTTTCTTTTATTGCTTTCTCATTGTTCGGTTGAGGCTATTTAATCTAAACTACCGTAAGGAGTGAGATTTGTTAATGCACATTGAGATCTCAACAAGTATGGAACTAATTCGTTGAGAAATACGAGTTTTAAAAGTTGGAGCTTCGGGTAACAAGAAGTGTTCGATCAACTCTATTTGAGAATCTGAATGAGCTTCACTTAGATGCTCATACTCACTCAACATTGACACGCTGCACAGCGTATGCAGAATTTTTGTTTGAATATGGACCTCGTTGGGCTTCAGGTGTTGCATGCAAAACCACAAAAGCAACCATCAGCTCTGCTACTAACACAAGTTCGGTACACTGTTTTGCAAGGTGTGTGAGTGAAGGCTAGAAACCCCGTAGGAAGCAAAATTCGAATGACCAAAAGTACCCGAAAGTTATCTGCAACGTTAGAAAGTGCTTATCGTGAACTATCCGCCCGATAAGCTTGATTGTGTGAAAACGTGGATAACTAAAACCTACGCAAAGAAACTGATAAATAACAATATTGCAGTCCTGATCTATGTGTACCGTAAGGGTAACCCTGGAGACCCACAGTAAGCTTAACAAACACCTGAAACGTTCCTCAAGGTTTGATCGCTTATGAGTGGCGTTCAGACAGTTCGGCTCAACCATCTTCACCTATGTGTTAAGCACATAAGGGCTGCCTCACAATCCATAAATTTTCCAGGCCAGAAACTTCTAACAAAAACACAAGCCTCAGATACACATGACAACTGGCATGTGTGAGAAGCCTCACCTTGTAAAAGACAATATTCCAAATGGACTGTGCCCATTAGTCGGAAAGTGCAATACACGTTGTGAGAATCTAAGACAGGCACACGATAGCCTGATCTATCTCAACCACAGCGTAGTCCAGAGGAGTGATGCAGTCACCTCGGCTGTCGCCGAAATCCACTTCATTGTTTCCGTGTGCCAGCCACGAAGTACTTGACCAATAGCATTCGTGTGCGTCCAGCACTGACTGTATCCAGTAAGTGACTAGATTTGATACTTGCCAAAAAGCATTTACATGTAGAAGTTCCATTCTGCATTCTCAAAGGGAACAGTTGCCCATTTTTTCTCAAAGTTTTGTCAAATTGCTATGAACACCTGCCTCTAATGCGTTAGCTATCCTACGTTTGTTTTTGTTAGCAGACCTCTCACTAGTTCTGTCAAATAAAGCGAAGGCACCAAACAGGAACCGTAAAATTGTCACTTGTTTGCCCTTGATGAGGCAGTCATCACAAAATTTCGTTTGACAGGAATCCGAACTACACAGTCATCTGACTAACCGAGACACAAAATTTGGTGCAGTAACCAATGGATGGAAACAGTTGGCATTCAGTCTGGTTGTGTGGTCGTGTGATTTAAACCATTGCGGTTTCGGTGCATTCCTCTAACCTAGCGCCTAGGTCAATCGATCAGATTCACTGCCTTTGGCAGCGATCGCGGCGGTCAGATGTGGACGCGTCACAACACATCAATTTAGACACACCACGCGCATCCACCCGTCTGCTACGTGCACCAGAAGCGGCGCCATTCACCCACCACACTTGGCAAAATCGTAGCCTAACGTGCGCGACACCGTATCGAATATCCTAGTGCAGCGCGTTACCTGTACTGAGGCTGGATGTAGGCGAAAATGGATTGTGTGCCTTCGGTGTGTGACCGCCACCTTGCGTCATGTCTACCTCTGCGCGCTTGTGTGTGTGTTGCGATTGCACTGAGGTAAGAGTCGGATGTGGCGAAGATTGTCCGTAGACAGGGAACGTCGCTGACACCTGAGGATATTTGTCCTCTTGATCACTTGAAGACAGACTTCCCTCTGCATTTGAACCGCGCCATCCGTTTTGAGCGGCCTGGGACATGCAGTAGAAACAGTCTGCTTCATGACAATTTTGTTTGCGGTGATTCGCGACAGTGAAATCCGGTGTGCTCCTTGGTCCCGTCTCAGTTGGCCTCGATGAACAGTGAATAATGGGTATATTACGGACCACGCAGTCTTTGGTGGATGAGTCCAAATTTACTATGTGCATCTCCCTCTTGATGGATAACGGACGGATTTCGTTCCAAACGCTCTGCTTTTTATACGACTGTCGTCGATGCATCATACCCGACTGTTCCTGGCCTAAAAGGGAGATGTTACACAAACGTAGAATTAGTCGTTCGCATTAATTTGTTGGTGAAACATTACGATAAGAACAGAGTATTGCTTTCCAATCATGATCTACAAATGATACTGATTCCAATAGTTGAAACAGCGTGGTCTATACTGATTTAATTGTAAAAAGTTGTTTTGCAATGCATCGAAGATATGTGAAATCGCCACACCCTTGAAACACCTGTCTATCCAACTTGGAACCGAAGCGCACGGAGAGCGGAACACCCAGGTGCGCGCCCATAATACAGATACAAACGTCCAGTTTAGTCAGAGATCACTTTGCCTATGGGGATTGCCAAGAAAAAGTAACATTTGTTGTGGCAAGTTCTCATGATTACACTTTACACCCAGTTTCGTCTCTGCATGAGTACTTCCGCCACCTGTGGTGCAGTTTTCAGTGACTTCTAACCTGATCACTTCTTTCACATGTGCTCGATATTCGATTATCTGTGGTCTGTTGGCTAGGACGCTGGGAGGTGAAAGTAGCAAGGAAGCCGCTGCTGCCGTATTTTCAAACACTAAGGATTGTTTTTGACCATGCGATGTTCGTAAGAAGTAGTCGCATTGATCCGCGCTAGGAAGGTTTATGTTCTAGGGCATATGGCGCTGTGTGAGGTCACACGTATTCGACAAATGCGGCGCGTCACCTGCAACTCAATTGACCGGGACATGAGACCATACAACGGACGGCAAACACGTATCGGTCCATGGGAACGCGACTGCGGTGTGAGTTCAAAAAGCGTGGGCGCTGAAGTGTGCACCGGATTTGGTTTCGAAGTGATTTGATCTCATCGGGTAGAGACGGCAGTCATCGAACCCGAGGCCATTGCGAAGTTAACTGAAACCTCTGACTTTTTAGCCACCGAGTCACGACGAGCAACGCTTGTCGTAACGGTTACTGACAGACTGGAGGGTCATTTTGAAGCGCTCCCTGTGGGAATGGATTGCGATGCGCGTGACACGTCGTCAGTTTTAGGTATGGGCAAAGGGGTAGCAGCCAGGCTTCCTGGAATCCGATAAGTAAAGCTAAACGGGACCATTCTTGAAGCTGGTTCTGACGATCAAAAATCCTTGCCAACAAATCTCTTACAAAAGCTTCAGAGGAAGTGATTTTGGGGTCGGAGTACTGCATTGCGGTCGCCGTTGTTTGACTTGAAGGTTTAGGAGTAGCTACAGAACCCTTATTAGCGCAGCATTTGCGTACTCAACTGTGTTACGATTTACGTGCCACGCTACTTAGCTGATCACGTTTCTTGGTACTTGGTTCCAGGTTCGTCTGTTTATTGTGCCTATCTACGCTTATGTACATATCTTCGATAGAAGTTCTTGAACAAGTTTATGCATAATTTGCTCAATTGTTTGGACCTAAACAACAGCCAGCCTAATAAAAGTTTGCGGAGTGATCCGCAGGTAGGGCGATGCAGTATAGCTTCGCCGAACTATCAGTGTAGTAATAGTCAGGCAAGCGCCTGACAGACAAAGTGATTCGGATCTGTGGGTCACATACTTTGCTTGAAATGGCTGTTAGCACTACACCAAACTCGGTCAAGGTTTAACGTAACCGTCCTGGCTTAGACGAAATGGACAGAAGCAAGTGAAGGGAATTTGCAACACAGTATCCATTGTTATCGAAGGCGGACTGTTAGGGATAAACGGTTGATCCAACAAAAGGTGGATCAGTAATGATGTACCTTCATAGGGTCATGCTATTTATTGTTGCGCTGCGCCCCTATGAATAAAAATAAACCAGCAACGCTATTTTCTTTACTTCCACAGAAAAGAGATCATCGAACGAGACAGTGGACCCACGTGATACCACGGAACGTAGTTACGCAGTGGTGGTATTTAGCCAGACGGCTATCCTAGTGCTTCCAATAACAATTGCCGTTCAGCTCGCGTCCGATCGGTAGTGTGGCTCTTCACTGGAATGTAGTCTACTTAGTCCTGTCGGCTACTTGCATCACATGGGCTTATACATTTATGATTCCCCGCGTTTCATATTGTTTTCGCCTGTTCATCAGTTGTGCCACTGTACGATTCCCCGTTTGCTAACACCACCATGAACATCAGCCTGGTTTCTGTTCCGCGGATTTGAATACAGCAACTCCAATTAAGGCCCAAGTGCACTCTCATATGATCACTACACCGTCACAGCGAAAACCGGCCATCTTTGGAGTGTCGTTTCGCAGTCGTACATATGCAGACAGTTAAAAAGGAGCCCCTGTGCCATTTGGATAAACTGGTCTTAGCACGTAATGTATGTGACATGGTAGCATTGCAAATTAACGGATTATGAATGACAACGAATACTTGTGCTCACCTGTTGATCTCAGGATTATCCCGTCCTTTGAACGAAAGCTGGGGGCGTGCCAGTCCATGGTAAACTTTCTCTCGCGTGGATCAGCTTGGTAGGCTCGGTTGTTCCCGTTCCGCGTGTAGATGGCCCAGGGCAGCACTCCGCTGATTGATTGATCCCATAGAGCGGTAGGTCGAAGACTGGAACGACAGGTTAACCGTTCCACCAGGGCAATTTGGATGAACTGTGTAGCGAGACGCTCCTGTCGCGTGCGCTCTCTGTGCTGCTTTCTGATGTGACGGTGGTAGCAAGTGGTGATTGTGCGCTCAAGGTATGCGGCTCGCTACTCAGAGGATACGGTGCTCATGTTTCACCCCGTGCGTGTATCGATTGGTATGTGAGCTAAGGAGGGCTAAGCGTCACGCGTGCTTTGTATGTGCGTAGGTGTGTATGCGCGTCTCACGTGATTCAAGAGCATTCGTGTGAGGCAAACTGCGACGACTTTTCGGAAGATCAAGGTGAACCGATTCAAAATGGAACTTCAAATTCCTAGTGCCGGTGCGCTTAGAAGGGTGCAGACAGTCATTTCAATAGTATTCCCATAATATTATATATTGTCGAGCAATTCAAAGTGAGCCTACTGACAACAACCTCCTGTATACACGTAGTTGACTCTGTTCTCGCTGGCTCAGTCAATCAGTGGATGCATGGAGGAATCGAACATGGATCCGACAATTCATCCATTTATGGGTGCTAACATGGGAGAAGGTACTGAGTGAGTCATACTGTTCTCCAAGATTTGTCAGCATTACACAGTCCGGAAATTCAGTGAAAGCTCAGAACATTGACCTTGCTTCTACAGCTAGAGACGTAAGTATAGTCCGTGAAAGCGGTTCATATAACATGCATTACCAGTGACCAATGGAGTAGAGCAAGGAGACCAACCTTCGTCAGACGCTGCACAGACACTAAACTAACTGGCGCAGTAAAACCTTTAGTGACTTATGCCTTAATGCACTTTGAAAAGAAGTTTTCGGTCAATGGGGTTTAATGCTATCTACACAAACTTGCTGTAGAAGATATGCGAAAGTCATAATGTGATATTATTCTCCGAGTTACGGATCCTTTCGTTGTGGATTCTCTCTGCCAAAACTATCAAGGCAGTGTTGTTTTCACAACTGTTAGGCCCACATGTACCTAATGCATTCGTTAATCTACATTCCACCGATTTCAATCATCCTGATTGATTACGGTTTGCCTCAGAGTCGATCGTGGTTCACAATGGGATTGTATGTGGCAAACAGGCAAATAAAGGGTATTCTGAACTTCCAGAAACGAACATCTCATTAAGTATTGTGACACAAACATCCCAATCATGTGACCTAAGTGAATATGACCCAAACTAAGGGGGCGTTTGTTTATCCAGATGAGACGCACAAAGCAAAATTCGTCGAAATCGTTGTGCACACATATGGGTACATTTTCTTTAGACACACTAGGATTATACAAAAGCCGATTGGAACAAGAAGCAGATTAACGACCCACGACAGCAAACTAGGGTGAGGTTACAGTAGTTCGCTGACAGCAACTTTGATGGCTACCCGAGAACCTGAACAGCAATCAACTTCAATTGTAGCATCATTGATGTGACTCACGATATGGTAAGTGACATAGCCTCATTGGAGGAACAGATTTTTCAAAATGATAGGCTTTATACAATTGAATCACCTCGTGTATATGTGGAAAATCGCTGAAGCACTCGTGAACGCACTGGACCCTAGCCACAGGATAATAAAAACCGTAGGTCCATAGCTGTCTACCAATTGCTGGTAGGACTAGTAATAAAGGCAAGTTCCGCATCAAATGCTGAAAATATTACGCGTAGCCATTCTCCACGTACTTCAGAATATGTTTTTACCAAAGCATCGAATTTATGGTAGCCGTTCCGCAATCCTACTGGTAACGGAAGAAACGTGTATATTTGAATATCCATCATAGTCAGTCAGATAAACGCACTCTACTTGGACCTAACTATGGGACATCCGAATCCTTCTATCTGAGTATTTGTTCAGTTCGAGAGCATATCAAATAACACCCCGAGGAATTGTTGACTTAAGGTCGCTTGGCGAATTCTGATGCAGCGGGTGAATTGGTCATCATGGTCTACTGTTTTTTTCCCCGCACCAACCGTACATAGCGTTGTCATACTCTAAATGGCTTTGTGTAGCTTATTACATCAATTGCAGGCTTACTGAGCCCCCCCACCCCCAGCTTGAGAATGGAATCCCGTGATTTCCGTTTGCTTTGTAATGCAGGTAAAGATATCTGGTTCTTAGATTCATTTTGTCTTGGAATAATTTCATTTCAGTGAAGATCATTTGCCGGTTCCCGGATTTACTGCAATGGAAAAGATCCTGGCGCATTTGGCATTTACCAACGTCCACTAAAGCAGCGGTTTATCTCAGTACGATTGTACGGGACTTGGTACGACTGAGCAACAATAAATGAAGTAAGTCATTTTGAACATATAAAACACCCCACATTCTATGTAAGCAAAAGTAGAACCATTAATACCGGCACAACAGTTGGTTGAAGTAGGACATTTCACTTAATGTGTGAACTATAGGCTACATGACTACAATCTATCACTAATGCGGTCATTTGATATGGGGCATTCGGTCAGAACACACGCAGACTTCTGTCCAGTAACTGGTTAAATAAAGTAGAATTCCGTGTCTGTAGTAAAAAATAGACGAAAACTTTATGCTTACTAGTAACTTCATCACATCAACAAGTGTTCCACCGTAGTATTGTCAAGGCAACTACTTTTTAAATGAACTACAACTACGACTTACATGGTCCTTCTTGCCGAGGGGACGAGCGTTGGAATGTGGAACTTCTGTGCAAGTAAGTAACAGAGAAAGGCAGATACAGAGAAATAGGATGTTAAATGTGACGTTTGTCAGCTGCTCACACACGCAACTAATGAGATGCATTGCGGTGCAAACTGAATGGCATGACGGGATACGAATGAGTTAAATGAAACGAGCACACCCACATTGTGTTGGATGCCCGCCGGGATGAGCGTCACGGTGGCTTGCGTAGGTGAGCTGTGTCACGTGACAACAAGAATCAGATGAGTGCAGACATGGATCCTTAGCGCGCTCCATTCAAGGCCGAAAGTAGAGCGAAACACAAACCGATTACCTTGAATGAGTAAATAGGAACAGTTCACACACGAATGTCAGGCTGGTATACCTGGGTTACATAGCAGGTAGTAGCTCTGAGGATGCGCAAGCCTGGTTGTTAATAACATTAGCCCTTCTTTTGAACCAGTGTATCACAGTTTAAAGTAACTAATTTGGAATCCCATGGGATTTCGGATGATCGTCTATCAGTGGGAATGTCAGGACTGACAGAAGCATTAACCATTACTTGTGAATTAGTAGATTTTCCTAGATAGTTGGCATCGATTCGCCTGTTCGTCTTAGCCGTGGTTTTAGCCGAAGCTGCTGATGCCAAACGTCGATTCCTCGTACCTAAGCTGGCTTGGTTGCTAAAGTATCACACTGACTGTATCGCATCAGACTACCAGTTGCGTACATTTTATTTCGTTATTTAACACTTTTGCATGAATACCTATCCAAGAGTGGTAGTGATGACCAAAACACACTGGACGAGCTGTTGTCATCTGAACCCACCGCAATGGTTGTACGATGGATCAGTGCCACAGATGATTTGTTAATGGTAACAAATTAAGGCTTAGCCATTCCAATTGGACGCTCAAGATGAAAAGTACGGAATCGAAATGATGTGTTCAGTAATAGAGCAATCATTAGCGAATCGAGGACAGATAGACTGCAGGAAAACTAGTGCATCTTCCTCGTGTGCTGATAAATGACGGGTTAGTAATAAAATTTGATAAATCAGCTATCGAACATGCTTACTAGGTCTACATTTTCTTGTGGACATATTTAAAATTCTCTTGATTGTAAAAGTTTCCGTCCTGTGTGTGTTTAACAGAGGTGTATTCCAGAGTTTTGCAGAAAATGCTACGCAGTACGGAGAGTTTAGTGGATTATTCAATAGCTTTTAAAGACAGTCAATGATGAGCAGAAGAGATAGAGTTTGGGACGGCGTTGTGTGGCTTGCAGCTCCGTAGTAAAAAGTTGCTCCTTTTATTACAACGTCATTACTCCCTATCTTTCATTCGGTCATCTGTTAGGTCAGCGTTTTGGTAGTGCATTAGCGTGTGTCGGTGTACAGAATCAGGTCTACTCAAGACCTGATACGCAGTATAAAATGGTCACGTAGTAGTCAGCAGTGTCCAATAACCCTTCCGCATACCCTGTCTTTGCTGGTATGTAAGTTGCCGCAGCCGTTTAACGTTTGCCCTGGTCCCCATCAAAGTCACACTTCTGCTGCTGTTGCGGTTTATCCCAGGCTTAACTATTATACTTGATGCGACGGTGGGCGCATCAAAGGGGAGGAGGACGGATAAAAACGTAATGGAGCAGTTTGTGTGGGATTAGTGTGTAAACTATTCTTTTATGAAGTCATCCTTCGCTATCTCAAACAGCCTGGACCAAAATGACCAGAATTCGCTTTGAGGTTACTCGTGGTCCATATTTAGATTGTGTGGCACAGACCGTTCACACAATGGGTGCTTCAAGATAAACACATAATGAATAAATAGTTGCCATGATAAGTTTAGTCAGCCAAGATTCTCCAGGTGCAAGGTTCGAGTAGCGGTTCGGATAGTACCCGATGGTTTTAAGGATATACAAAACTTGCTGTGTAGTTCAACGCCCGGAGTCGGAGAGACTCGACATTCGCCGATGACTTTTAGACGAAAAGTACATTAACCAACCAAGAAAGGAAGGGAATGGCAAGTAATTCTGATCAATGCAGTTATACCATGCAAACTGCTAGAGGAGCGAATGTAGATGAACTAAGAACATATACAATGAAACAATGGTATAATACGGTTTGGCAACTCCCGTGGGGTGGTTTGTGGAAATAAGGTTAGTTCAATTTACCCAAAAGTGAAAAGCACATCTGTGGACGCGATATTGTCCACGTTAACACAAGGTATGTCCGTCTACCTCGATCTCGTGGGGTTGGTGAGTACAATGTTTGTCTGCGTCTTGTCTTCACTCAATGAATAGGAATCAGATCAAGTAATGTAAATGATGTAAAGCACCGTCCAGTAGTTTTTTAAAATTGGGTAGTGTGGGCGCTGAAATGACAAAAATCGAAAGAGCATTCCACGGTTGACAAATTCGAAGGGAAAAATAATTCCCGCTGCACTCCAGCTGACTGTATTGGGTGGCAAGTTACAACATATGATCCTTCGATTCTGTGTTGCAGGTAAGCTTCACTTGGTGGCGACAAGCGGGACCGGGGTTTTCCAAAATCTGTAACGGCAGGATGAGGTCAGCCCGTAGACGGCGATATCGTCCGCTGTACACTCCCAGGGCTTACAGTCGCCTATGGTATTACAAGTGGGACAAACTCTTCACATTTTTTGTTGCCCGTCACTGTGCGGTCAACAGTGCAACCAGATCGCGTTTTAACCAGGGTTGCCACGCCTGGATCGCGTACTCCACATGGATCCTCACATATACACTGAGCATTTGGGCGAAGATGGAGGGATCGAACCACCCGGACGCCCTCCGCAACAGACCGACTTGTTGGTTCGCGGTTTTAGACGTCTTCAAAGACTGCACCGAACAGCCGAGGTCGTCTTGGATCAGCACCCCATGGTCGCACTCTTTTGAGGCGGTTTTCAACATGTCTTTTGCAAGCTTACATGCGTACGGGAGCTTTTGGTGGACATGCACGGTTTTATACTTGTCCGTGTAAAATGCTAGTAGATTTACCTTTGACCATTCAAGAACGCAGTCTAAGTCTCGTTGCAACATATTGTGATCTTCCTGACACTCGATTGCCCACCGTATCTTGATGTCATCGGCAAAAAGCAGGCAATTTGACTTGATAACACTCGGAACATCGTTAATGAAGAACAAGAATAACCGTGGCACCAACACCGGCCCTTGTGGAACATCGCAGTTCACACCAATTGGACCAGAAAATGAACCTCGAACTCGAAACTGAAGGTGCAGCTGAAAGAGAAAGTTCCCGATCCATTCAAGCATAGGGTACTCGACTTCATATGCTTGCAGCTTTTGGAGAAGGATGCAATGATCTATGCGGTCGAAGGCTTTAGAAAAGTCTAGGTATATAACATCGATGTCGGTCCCACTGTCGGCTATTTCGGTCCACCTGCCACGTCGATCAATAAATTGGTAGTGTATGACCGATGCTGACGGAATCCATGCTGTTCCTGTGCTATGATGTTAGACCTTTCAAAGTAGCCCATTACGGTCTCAGCTATAAGCGATTCCAACACCTTTGGGAGCACCGGGAGGAGAATCACAGGGCGATAGCTGGCGAGCTCTTAACGGCTACCACGCTTGAAACTCGGGGTAAATATGCCTTGCTCCCACATATTAGGGATCTGCTTTTCGTCCAGGCATCTTTGGAAAAATTTTAATGGTTCAGCTATCCTCGTAGCTGCCATCTGAAGCGCTTTTTGGGGAATGTTGTCAACTCCGGGGGAATTATGGGTGCGCAACGAAAGCAGCCTTCTCAAAATGGTCGCCGAACTGAAGATGACTTTTGAGGACGTTTGTAAATAATGATATCAGGGGAAATGGGACAAGTATGTTACCAATGCTGGTAACACATCGGAAAATTGGGGCTTAGTGTAACCGTAGTAGGTTGACTGTATCCTCGGCGGTTGAGCACATCCATCTGTTGAGATTAGTGGGGGAACACAAGGTTTCACATTCCGGAAGCTGTTCACGTGTCTGTACAAAAGCTTTCTGTTAAGACAACTTTTGCACTAGACTCTGCTGGTGTACTAAAATATACTCGCGCACTGGTGTGGTACAGTAATTACGATGCACAACATAGTAACTCCAGCTGTCAGGGCTAGGCTTCGCTCTATACACATGCCACGCTGCGTCTCTTACTGTCATATGTTTTCGGGTTCTACTCCGAATGAATGATTGTGCCCTTGCAGAATGAAGGGGGTTGTTGACCGATGCAGATTTAATCAGATCACTTAACTTGCCAGTAACGTTCAACAAAGCACTGTCAATGGAACAGTCGTCTGGAAACTCCTAGACGGCATCTCCCACAGGTTCTGCCAATATGTCGCAGTGGCTGATTGTTCGAAACAAGTTACTATGTTCTTGTGGATACTCCGCACAACACACGAAGTCGTAAATTATGGTTACGTGGCCGTTTCGCCACAGAGGACTCTCCAATCTTGGTTTCTTAATCATGGGCTCTTCGTTCATGAGCTCTAAATCAAGCACTGATGATTTATTTCCGGCTCTGAATCGGGTGGGTGAACTGACATGGCTGAAAAGCAGAATGCTTGCATAATACTCTTGCAGATCTGCCTTAAACTGCTCGTTGGCGGATGCCGGAACCACCAAATCGTGAATATTAAAGTCGTTTGAGATGAGAATATGATTGTATCGTCCTCATAGGACCCTTCCCAAGGATAATGCCAGGCGGGAGTTTGAGTTCAAACCCATGGACGCTGGGATGAGGTGGAGATCGATTCACATTTGTTATGCATTGAGTGAATAACTAAATAACTGCGTTAAGAAAATTTTGGAAACAATCGGTTGGTATAGTTGTTTGTTAATGTTTCGCCATTGACACAAAAGCTTCATCAGACCAGATGAAGCAGTGTGCAATTAGAGTGGTTTTTATAGTGAACAGGGTCGATAAGCTCGTTACCAGAGACTTGAGCCATGGTGTCAGTGCAGTCACACTTCATGTTGTCACCTCAGGTGGTTCAATCACAGTGGGAATAGTCCAGGCGTTCTTTTGCGCGTCATGACATTCACGGATAAGCCCATAATGGTAACAATGGGAGTTGAAGGGGAATGAGGTCCTTCGGGTGTACCAGCGCCGAACATAACGTTCGACCTCACTGAAAGATCACCGTTATATTTTCCTTGTTTAATACCCTCCGAATTGCCTCCGAAGTGCCTTCCTCGTACGGAATTTCGACCGTTCCTATCCACTCGGCTTTGGGTCTTGACTGCCGGTGTAGTACTTTATGCAATTGGCATTTGACTAGCTGCCGTGGGTAACCACTTGCTAATAGTTTGCTCATTGCCACTTTCCGCTCAGCCTTTTTGTCCTTCTCCACCGTGCACAAGGTTTGTGTCCTGTAGAACAGCGCTGAGGCCATCCCAAAGTAAACCTGTTTCGGAGGATCCGAAGTGTAGTGGAGTACGCCGTCAGTATCCGTTGGCTTGCGATATATTGTCGTCTTTAAATTTCACCTATTCCTGTGAACCAGGCAGTCAAGAAATGGTATTGTGCCGCTACAAGATTCCAACTCAATAGTAAACGGTATTTTCTCATCATTGGGGTTTAAGTGAACAAGCAACTCGTCCTTTAACAAGTACAAAGCTGTCGTCTACATAACCCCACCAAACTTTTGGTGTTAATGGTGTTTTTTTAACGCCCTGTTCTCGAAATCTTCCATATACAGGTTCGCCAGTAAAGGGGATATTGGCGATCCCATGGGGAGACCTTGTTCCCGACTGTAAAGCTTCGAGTAAAACAAAGAATTAAGACGTTAAGACACTGTCATACCTTCGGTTATCTACTTAAGTGTTAGTTTCGTCCGATCATTCAGAGTGACGTCTTCATTTAGACAACTTCTTGCTGTTCCCAGCGCCTCTTCTTTGGGTACATTTGTGAAATGTGATGTGACATCGAGGCTTACCATCAACTCATCTCGCTCGATGGCGAGACTTGCTATCTTTTGTGCATACTCATACGAGTTTTGCATGAATGTACTCGTTCGCCCTGTCAGACGCTGCAATAGCCCTGCCAAATATCTAGCGAGTTCATGGGTCGGGGAGTCTATACCATAGACTATGGGCCGTATGGGGGACTTCGGATTTGTGAACTTTTGGCAAGCCATAAACCTTGGCTCAATTCTCGGGTAACGCATTTATCGTCCCCGTTCGCTATAAAAACCACTCTAATTGCACTCTGATTCACCTGGTATGACGAAGCTTTTGTGTCAATGGCGAAACGTTACCAAACAACTACACCAACCGATTGTTTCCAAAGCTCTCTGAACTCATAAATTCTCGATCGGTTCCAAGTATCTTCCAAGATTTTGAAACTAAATGAATGTTATAGTCCTAGACAGTCCTAGGCACATTCCTGATTGCTTTGGAACACGAATTGGTTTTTTCTTCAACTTCACACATTAGTTCGAAAGCTGTCAGCGCCAGAATAAGTGAAGGAAGTCTCTATCAAGTTTTAATACAGTGACGAATCACTTTCCAACACCCCTTACATGCCTAGCATTCACTGCATGTTCAGATTTAACTGAGTTGCCGATTACCATGTGACATATCTTTTCAGAAGTCGAGGGAGTATCCAGAGAACTAACAAGGGGGCTTCCGTCTACCTCATTGAATATTCCACAAGGCCAATACCAGTGACACTTCCATCATAATTTTGGAAGAGCACAATGCAACCAATTCTTTGTTTCAGAAATATTTGGTCGAACGCACTTTCCGAGTGTTTAACGACTGGAGGATGCGGCGGTGGTTGTTGAGGCAAATGATTGAGTTGTTTGCACAAAACATTTCACCATGATCTTCACTGGTTTACGGGGATCCAACTAAAAGTTTCGCATCTCTGTAGGAATCATTACCGCAATTGCATTTTTCTTGTTACAACAGAATGACCTGATTGTGCCCGATTCTGAGGGACTATTATTATTGGTAAAACATGCAAAGACATTTGTCTGGGAGCAGTATGTATGAGTCTGGAAGGTAGCTGACCACCTTGTAAAACAGTACTTAGGAACTATGAGCATCCAGGTTAGCGTCTAAGTATAATGTCCACCGAATGATAACCAAGATAGGACTAATCAACTGCACAGCGCTTTCCGATAGAACCATTCCACCATGTGTCTGGGTAACAAAACTAATGAACTCACGTTGATCGTGTTCCAAGGTGATGACTTTGATAAGAACTAGACGTTGACAGGAACTGCTGTTGCACGGATGCGGGTGATCTCGCCATCGGTAGATAAGCTGGAGATAAGCTTGACCGTGTCTCCTCATTGAATTCATGACGCCGTCGCTCTTCCACCAAACTCATGGCCCTTCGGAGTTGTGCCAACTCTCTTCGAGCCAAATTTAATTCGTTCTCAAGTCTTTGTTCTCGTAAGTTGACGTCACGTTCACTCGAATGCGTGGTTGTGTGCGGCAACTGTTGGGCGTCAAATTGGGTTTTTGTGAGAGCGTCAGCAAATGCCTCCAACAAAAGGGCATGCTATCATTTTTAGAGACTACTGATAAAACAACAGTAACATAGTTTTAAATGGCAATAGGTGCTTGCTTACGGATTGAGGCCAAGTACGCACAGTTCCTAGTGTGGTAATTGCAATCATTCGTAGTGATGGAGGTAAGTGGATGGGTTGCTAAAGTCAGGTGATATACATGCGACCAGAATCACCAGACGAGGCTTAGTGAATGACTGATAGTGGTTTTGGTCCTCCCAATCCACTTCGTCGAGACCTAAAACATGAAAATCGGAAGACAGTTCGTGGTGTTCGTGGTTCGTGGTGTTTTGAGCGCATTCATTGCGACCAGTTAGTAAAGCAGCCAACATAGCAGCAAACCGCTGGCTTGACTTTTGATTCCATTTAGAATAGTCTGCAGTGCTCAGTCACAGAATGCTGCGTTTCGAACTCATGACTTTCTTCCTACGAGATGAAAATAGATGCACCAGCAGTTTCCCCATGCGGCTAGGACCGCTGATACATCAGCCCATTAGAGAAAAGACCAACAGCCAGGATTATTAGCACTTGTCGCAGTTATTTCCCCGTAGGTAAAGTGGATTTGTTATTTCCGGTTACAATAATCGCTGAAATGTAAATGTACTAATAGTTTCATGAGTGATTTGCTTGAAAAACCGGCAGTTAAACGCTTAAAATATGCTAATTCAAACAGCATATTGCAACAAGGCTTTATTTTAAGTTTGAAGTGATTTCCTAGTGACGGGCTCAATAAATCGTGAACTGGTCGATTGACACGTGAAGCGGTGACATGCATACCAAAAGAAGCGGGTTGTGTACAACGTCCACGGTCTCCGAACAGCAACGGACATGTTTTGAGGAAAACGTGATTGCAATGCTAATTTTTTCAATCTTTTCGGTGGCGCATTTGCATACCTTATGAATCGCAGTGCGCTTGACTGAAAGGTGGAATGGTAGGCGTTCACGTGAGCCGGGCAACCCTTAAGTCACCAAAACTTTCGCAGAGGACAGTATAGACGGGCTGGCGGAAACATGGCATCGAATTCCATAGTAAAACTGTTGCAGTTCTTGGGTTTTTCACGGACACTGTGTAGCACATTGACCAGGATTATCCGCATCAATACTGGAATCGTATGTGGGCGTTTGTCATTTCGAACTGTCGCACCCATAAGCAGCAAGAATACGGCCCACAGTTGCACTTTTAGCACTAGCCGTAGTTCATCCCTGCGCTATATTTGCAAATTACACGTTGCTTAATTTGGTTGTGTCTACACAAAACCGAAATTCTACGAGTTGAAGGTATCAGACACTTAACTGACACGATTGCTATAGTTTCATGGCCGTATACGCTCAATTTGTGCGGTAAGTTTTCTGAGGTCTACACTGATAGGAAAGCTTGATAACGTGCAAATTCTTAGAGAGCGGAGCAATGCTAAGATGTGACATAAACAAGTCTTTATAGCAACACAGCGATTGTTTGGTCATGCCGAATGGCCATACCATTTAATTCCAGTCACTACGAACATCGGCTGCAGTAACTTGCAAGTGGATGCATAAAATTTACCTCATTTGAACCGCATTCTGGATCAATTGTCAAGTGCACTTGACTCAGCTGTCTCGGCCCAATGGGAGGTCTCTGTTTGAGAACAGTAGTGTAAGTGGTCTGGTGCCGGGAACCCGATGAGGGATAATAATGTGACCGTGGGGTTGTGTAATGTGATGGCTTATTCAGTCCATCCAATCGGCCTTCTGTGTGATATGAGCTTTGCCTCTGATACGTGTAACTCGAAGGATGAACATTGGGGCTAGAAGAACCATATGTATGTTCATTCTGACCACCAACTTGTCCCATGGCGGCGGAGGAGGAGGAGCGCGTTGTATGCAGGCGGTTTTGACTATGGGTACTGGTACTATGAATTGTCGAATATCGTGGGGTGTATGTGTGCGCATACGTAGTTGCTTTAGGTGGAGGCAGTCCAGCAGCCATCTGCATGCTTGTCAATCTTAGCTCCTCTAGAAGACGATCAAGCTCCTGGGTTCCAGCCATGAAGTTTAAACGTCGAGCGGCCTGGAGTAGATCTTCCGAATGGAGATGAAAGGGGACAGCAGCTGCAACGGAAGTGTGAAATATAGACTATAGAAAAAGAACAAAGTCGCATGAATGTTTTTCTCTTGAAGCTTGGAGAACGAGTGTTCGCCATTCTCTGACGACATACACTGTATTTTTGTTATTATATCTGGTACTGATTGATGCGCCACTAACCATTTGTCCGCTAGTTATCCCACAAGGTAGATTTTCAAAGTTGCATTCAAGTACCTGTGCAATGGCGCAAAACAACTTTGCTCTTTTGCCTGGATAACGTTTCTTTTATGGTAGATAGAACAAGAGTAATGTTAAGCAAAATGTAATGAGCCATGTTCTAACTGATTCGTACAACTCCCAAACTTTCCAGCGGGATAGTGGCCTAAGTTGGTCACCGTATCCGAAGTAAATCAATATCTAGATTTAAGCCCTTAAATTTGGGTCAGCCAGGATGTACAAGAGGCAGATAGCAAGCAACACATTACACCAGAATAAACAATTTGAGATTTTGTGTCATGAACTTCCGTTCAAATAAGAAGTAAGTAATCGTATTGTCCTTGTTCCATAACATTAAACAATCAAACCACAGAGAAGTCCGCTTCGTCCACTACGATTTGAACGAGGCTTCCTCCCAAATCCAGTTAAAATGACTTTACAAGGGACTAGTAAAGGGAGTTGAATCCTATAGGTGGAAACGTACCACATCTAGACAGCCATCACACTCCCGTAAAAGCACTGTACGGCCGTTTCATCCCTACAGAAATCGTCGGGACTGCGCAATCTATCTAACGTTTGTGCGGCTCGAACCCGAAATTCGACTGTTGTGAGCCTGTGGTTGAGATCACTGAGCTAAGGGGGAGGGGGGGGACACCGCACTACTCCCTTGTAATCACTTAGCAGAGCAGGCTGTTTATCATGTCGTAAGTTAATTCGCAGCTTAACTTTGGTAAGTTCGTCATTTCGTGACAGAGCTGCCTTGTCTTCTGCACGGTAGTTACATGCAAATCAACGGCCTAATATCCATCTGCTTCGTTAAATGGCCGGTTTATCTTATTGGACACGTCATAAGCTCCCATCTATCTGAAGAGCCCAATTTTTCGCGATCGCAAAAATTATTAACTGTCGCGGAAAATGAATCTTTCTCAGAATTGCGAAAAAAGGATAAATCAAACATAGCTACTTTGAATTCCTTCTTGTTGTAATCGATATACTTTCATTCGGAAGAAACGCCAAAGCAGCTAGCTGCCTACCGGAATATCCTCCTGAAGTCTCATAACTGCAATCTGTTTAACATCTGCTACCCAAGTCCCCTTGTCTCCCCACTCACACCTACGGCCGCAGTTATATTCCGACCCCAATGTCAAACATACATTATGCAACCTGTCCCAACGGTCTGCTCACGCTGTCCATTCACTCCACTGTCCATTGCACAGACAAACTTTTCCCAACATGCACAGTAACTCTGTACGACATCTTGGATTTTGAGAGTCATTTTGAAGTACACGTTGTATGGATGGATTGCGACAGGCCATCTCAATGTCGGCCACGACTACCATTGAAGTAAACCTTGGTCTTCCGATCACGAGGGTCGTAGCTGAAGTAGATGTAAATTGAGCGTTGCCCGCTCGAAAACACTGCACTAATATGATGCGTTTCGTGATTATTTCCTCTCCTCAGATAGAGATAGTAAGCATCGAACCCGGAACCACTGGGATGTTAGTTGTGATCGCTACCCGTGAGCCCCCGGGTCATGATAGGCAACGTTTGGCACAACGGTTAATGATGGATTTTGATGGTCATTTTGAAGTACACGTTGTGTGGATGGATTGGTTTTCATCTTTCGGGAAGAAAGAAGCATGTCTACATTGAGTAACGAAAGCAGGAAGGCTTGGGTAAGCCGACCGGCTCACCAAACCGGTCATCACGAGTTAGAAGGTTTGGCTGGAAGCTATCGCACATCCCCGCAAAAATTTTCATCACTACGCAGAAATATTACAAGCTGTACAACATGAGTTTAAAGACTTAGCTAATGTTTGTGAAATTGTGGATATTCGAACCAACGAAACGACACGGACCTGTTTGACCGCCGTCGTCTACTTTACTCTCAGTGCTTGGTATTCCTCAAACTGGAATTTCTATGAGCATAACTAGAATAAACCACCACGGGTTAGGCAGTACTACTGATACCTGCAACTAGGTAACTGTGCTCGTGCCAAAGCAGTTTTTCGTAATCCGTGCCGATTGGACTCTTAAACTATGTATGCCATTAATAGTGGTGTAATGCATGTTTAAGTAAAACTCCAGAACACCCATAGATTTCATTTGCACGCCGAAATTATAACTTGCAGCTAGAATCTGTTTGTGTGCGATGACTGGTCCCTAACTTGGTGCTATGCTACAATCTGACCCATCAGCAAACCTGCATCGACTTGCCTGAGAAAGGATACATTTGTCATATAGAGCAGTATAGATGGTCTTGCGATTTCTTTTTAGGCAGGCGTGTAGCATTGTGACACAGGTACTCGTCTATTATCAGGGATGCAGCAATATTCCGAAGTAGGCTTGTATGTCTTTTTGATTTGAGTACGATTAATGCCATGTTATCGCTAGAAAATAATTTGAAGAATTGCTTCAAGACAGGTTAGGGATAGCAGTTAGGTGGGGAAATAAAAGGATAACACGAGGCAAAAGGGGGCAGGAAAACCCACTTGACCTTCGTTAATTCACAGTCCATCCCTTGCCAACTGCATCAAAGAACTGTCATATACAAATAAAAATGGAAAGGCCTTAGCAGGTTGAATAAATAGGTTTTGTTAAAAAATGGTCTCTCACCAGGTTATTTTTACTTAGGTTGAAAATGAGCACAGGTTTGCTGACCAACTACGCGATTTGCAGTGAGTTTAACCCCTCATTGGTTTATGGCAATGCTATTTTTTACCTGGTTTTTCGTTTTATGCTAGTCTTGAAAAATCGTCGGGTCCCTGGTGTTTTATGTAACCCTTAGCCTGTCATTTGTTTGGACATACTAGTTCATAAACTTTCGAAGTTATGAAGTGCTCATCTGAACCAGTTCAGTTCAGTTCAGTTCAGATGGGACTGGAACGATAGGAGAATCCCATGAGTGTTCCATCTTGAGTGGATCGTTGATGCAGGAATTGATGAAGTGCTCAGTTATCGATGGATCTAAAACGGAACATCCGTATCGCACCCTGGCCAACCAGTTAATGCCCACGTTTCCTGCTCTAGCAGTCCTTGATGTGGAGGTCACGTGAAGTAAGCAGAGGATAGGAAGAGACATCGAAGGTACAGAATAAGGAAGTGCACTTAAGTAGGAAAATAATACCAATGCGTGAAGAAAAGTAGAGAAAAGGAAATCGAAGTACGAAGACGCGAGTTACTCAGGAAGATGGAAAGGTTTCATGCTGCCACCAAAGAGCGTCAAGTTGCCGCTCAAACCTCTTAACCCTCGATTCCCTGATAACCCTTTCCAGAAGCATGTTCCAGCGGTCGATAACTCGGTGTGACAGCCGGATTTCCGCCCTAATCCGATCGGACCGCGGTTTGTCCAGCTTCAAGGAATGACGGCGTAGAACAGACAATTTAGTGGGACTAAATAGCCAAGATAAATCTGGACCAACCTTCCAAGTTAAGATACGGTAGGTTAGGATTAGGTTTCCTCTAAGCCTTCGGTAGTGCATTGAATGCATTCCCAAACTAAGTAGATGCTCGGGGTACGTCCGTCCCCGTAATCCCTCGACTAACCTAGTACCCACTCGTAAAACCCTCTCTAGCTCCATTTTGTCCCGGACGAGGCAGGGCGGACAAGCATGGACGCAGTATTCCGGATGAGGCCGAATGAAAGCGGAGAACAGCTTCGTAAAGATGCCGTCCGTCAAGACTCCGAAAGAACGTCGAATTAACCACAACATGCGGAAACCTCTGCTTGCCGCCTTCTTCCATTTGTCGCCGGAGTCTAAAGCCGAAAAGTGTAAGACGCCTAGGTCAACCTGGCTAGATACACGGGGGAGTTCGACTCCACCGACTGAGTACTTCGTAGGAGGACAACCTCCTCCAATTCGAAGTACGGAGCCCTTTGCTTGATTTATGGGCAGTAACCATAAAGTAGACCATTCCCAAAGCTTATTCAATGCTCGCTGAATAGCTTCTGAACCCCGAGGAACATCGACAATGTTCCGCAGCTTCAGGTCATCAGCAAATAGCAGCGATGGTACCTCAAGCTCCGCGGGTAGGTCATTCACATAGATAGTAAACCGCAGCGGTCCAAGGACCGAGCCCTGCGGCACGCCACTGAGGACAGACTGCCTAAACGATAGGCCCCGGTCTACCCGTACACACTTCTCTACCCTCCAAGAAGGCAGTCACCCAATGAATGGCGCGGCCAGATACCTCGTAGGAGGACAGCTTTTGCGCGAGCCTCAAATGGGGTACCTTGTCAAATGCTTTCGAAAAGTCGACGAAAAGCACTTCCAGCGCATGGCCGTTATCCAGTGCGTTCGCCCAACTTTCGCGAGCCACCAGTAGATTCGTCAGGCACGAAAATCCCTTCCGGAATCCGTGTTGCACATTGCTAAGTAGATTAAATCTACTCAGATGACTCTCCAATGAATGTCTCACCCGTTTCTCGAGGAGTTTGACTACTACACTCGTCAGACTAACTAGCCCGTAATTTGCAGGCGGACCCCTGTCCCCATTTTTGAAGATGGGACAGATAACAGCTTCCTTCCTTTCGGAAGGCAATGCACAGCTGTCATGCGATTTCTGAAACACATTAGCGAGCGGTCCACTTAGTTCCGCCGCCAACTGATGTGACAGTTTCGGGTGAATTAAATCAGGCCCAGAGGCCTTAGAATGGTTCAGCCCTTCTAACAGCCTACGCACTTCCGTCTCCGCTACAATAAATGCAGATAGTTCTGAACCTTCCGGGGTCCTGCAAACCAGCTCCACGCCTGTCACAGAGGTTTCCCTCACAAACGCTGTCGCATATTGCCCACTGAGTACGCAGGCC